ACTATATATATATATATATATATATATATATATATATATGACAATTATTGTCAAATATATATCTCTCTCTCTCGTTCGCTCGCTCTTTTACACACACACTCTCTCTCCGGCACTCAGTACAATCTCATAAACAAACACACCAAATGGCAATTCGGATTATATAACAATTCAAATCGCATGGCAATTCCAACCAAATGACCTTATATATTCAACATCCGATACGAAGACTACAAAAACTATAAAGACACACCACTGGTCCGTGAGACAGACGTGCCGCTATCCACAATCGGCTCCAGCACTGCAAATGGCAGGAACCCAAAGTTCTGCGTGGTATCACAAAGTAAATGTGAACATGATTCAAGATTGAAGGATGAACATTTGAGATACAACGATGAACATTTGAGGTACGAGGAGTGAAGGGATAAGTTATAGTATCCGATTGTTCTCTGAACTGTACCGCTGTATGGCGATATGAGAGATCAATTGCTGTGCTACTCAACTGCTGTATGTAGGAGTAGTCTTTTCCGAGAATCTCGCCAATGAGGGAAACAAAGTTGACTGGAATAGTTGTGAATTTGTTTGATCCTTCTGGCACACCTACGGTCGCGTTACATTTCGTCACAGCACCCGCGAAGAGCGGCTGTGTCATACCACAGTTTTTTGTACTTTGCATACTTTCTGTAATGAGAGAGTATGGCACACTAACAAGCAAGTTGTATAAGTGTGTGTATGTGTTTTTGTATATATGTATATGAGAACGTACGTATTCGTTGCGTATGTGAGTGTATGTACTATTGGCCAGTCCAGCTCGGTCGCCAATACGACCACTCAGGTTGATACATACACACTCCATTCACTAGCACGTGTTTCAGCCTTTTTCTCATACTTCTTAGGTCTAATCATCCCTGCAACAAACCCAATCCAAGCTGTACCGAACATACACCTACGACTGTTCCATTCTCTCATTACTGCCCTTGCACTTTGTACCTATCTTCTATTGCACCTAACTAGTCCTAATACATCTTCTCATCCTACACCAATATCGGCCTATTATCACAGGATACCTACCTCATCATGCGCTACAGTACACCACTGCGGGTCGATGTCTAACAGCACCCACACTATCTCGCCTTCTTTTACACTCAAAACATTAGCGTCGCCGCCGTCAAAGTCCTCGGCGATGCGCATACGGTACGGCTCTGTATACGTTTGAACGCATTGAATAGTCAGTAACAAGTTCTGCATTCGGGTGATACGTTGGAATATCCTCTTCAGGGAAGTGTCTATCTGAAAGCCCAAGCCCATGTTGTGTTTCTATACAAATGCATTTGCTTCATAAAGTCTCAAACTTCAATTTCAGATGGAAAATGGTGTCACTTTTCCATTAGATTGTGTGCGCTAAGCATAACCGGGTGTAAGGAAGCGAACAAAATATACGAATGGAAGGCTTACAATGGTGTCTGCTTAGACAAGTTTGTTTTGATAAGAACAGTGCCAAAAGGCCTTACAAACACAATGAACGAAAAATAATATATGTACAATGTTGAATGGGCCGTAGTCCCGGCTCTTGGTCACGAACGTTGTG